ATAGCTCTTCAACGCTCTCCCTTTTCCAGACTCTGCCCACCTCCCCTGGCTCTCAGGGTTGTTTTCCTAAGCAGTGCATCAGAATCACCTGGAGGCCCTGGGCAAGCAGTCAGTGAGGCCCCACCCTCAGAGTTTCTGATTCAGCAGGTCTGGGCGGGGCTTGATAATCTGCATTGCTAACAAGATGATGCCCATGCTGCTGGCCAGGGAACACACTTTGAGAATCACTGATGTAAATAAACCTCAGCTCTGATAAAGTCTCACAAAACCTCTGAGCCTCTCCATGGCCCATTGAATAAAGACCCAGGCCTAGATTCAAACCCCTCTGTGATTCAGCCCCTATCTCCCCCACCTCTCCCTGCCACACCAGGCTGCTACCCTGCCAGGCTACCCCATATCCTCAGGAGATGCTCTGTTCTCTCCTGCCTCTGTGTCTTCTCTCAAGCTTCTCCTGACCTGGACTCCAGAGCCCCTCCACATGCACCAGCCCCCTTATCCTTTAAGCCTATTTCCAGTGTCACCTCCTCTGGATGCCTCCTAGGCCCCCATCAGTCAGGAAGAAGGACTCATCCCTCAGCTTGCAGCTTAGCCCCTATTTCATCCTGCCCTGTGTAATAGCTGTTCTTGTCACTGGTCTGTGGATACCTTGAGGACATAGACTGCCTTTTTCATCTTTATCTACATATTTGTTAAATGGATGGGACCCCAGAAGATAGAACCAGGACAACACCTGGAACTTCAGAGAGGCAGATTTGTACTCACCCTGAGAAAATCTTGCAACAATGTGAACAGTCTGACACCAGTTCTTGAGGATCCTGCCTGGAGATTATGAACTCCCTGGCTTGTGGTCATCTTCAATGATGTTGGATGGGCATTTACAGTCGCCGAAGTCCCTGATTAGGCAGTACTGATCACTCAACCTCCTTCTCAGGCCCCTCTCGTCACAGGAGAAGCTGATCCCCACTAAACCAACTGCCCTGAAGTCCAGACCCACAAAGTATCATGGGTCCGCTGGACCTTGCCAGAAGTGAGGGATGGTAGAGAGACATGATGGTTGTCAGCGGCCTTCACAGTCTAAATAGAAGAAGTGACCAGTGGTGAGGGCCCTGCTTCGAGCCGGTCCCCCTCCTGCCTTTGAATACCACCTCCTCAGAAGGACCAGGGCTTCCCTGGTGGCTCGGTGGTAAAGAATCTGCCTGCAATGCAGGAGACTTGGGTTCAATCCCTGGGTTGGGAAGATCTGGGAGTAGCAGATGGCAATCTGCTCCAGTATACTTGCCTGGAGAATCCCGTGAACAGCAGAGCCTGGTGGGCTACAGTCCACAGGGTGAGGGACTTAGCACATACACACATACAGAAGAACCAACCCCTCCTTGATGCACCCATGCCCCCTTGCCTCACCTCACCCACACCTGTGCCTGCAGCCTTCTGGACAGGAGGCACCCTATCTCTGCATAAACTGGATATCTACAGGTTTTCCCCCAGTCTGTGTTCCCAGGAAACAGTACCCAGCTCCATGCCAGGCATGTGTCAATTCTCAGAAGGTATGTTTACTTCCCATGCCCTGCCAGGTACACACCACAAAGGCCTTTTTGCCCTTCTTCATTTGCTCTTGGAAAAGAACCTATGAAATCATATCCAGTCAAGGAGTCAGTGATGGAGGCTTCCCATCCCTGCCAACCCTGGGGAAATAGAACTGTTTATATCAGATAGGCTTGAAAGACTCACTTGATTGCATTGTGGCTAGGCGTACTATTGCCGTGTTCTTTGTTTATTTGTTGGTTGGGTTTATTTGTTCCTGGGGAGGGAAGAGAAGGATTTCCCAGAGTCCAGACTTGTGGCCTGGGAGGACCTTCCAGGGTTAGCACTAGGAGTCTGGTGAGGTCTGGAGTTTGTATCGGTCAGGACCATCTGCCCTGGCTTCCTCGTCCATCAGGAAGCGGTCATCAATCAGTTGCAAAGCTGGCACGTTGGTTATTGGAAGAGCCTGAGAAAGCCATGACCCGGGTACCCAGTTGGGGAACACCCAAGTCTCAGCTTACCTCCTGCCAACCTCTAGGTCTTCTGAGCATTCTCATTTCCGCTCGTTCCTGGGGCTGGCTGAGGTCAGGACCTTCTGAGAGAATGCAGGGTCAGCCAACCCATCTGAAATTTCCCCTCTGTGTGTGTGAAAGGAGATACGTCCAACTGTGGACACACAGAGCCCACATCCTTATGACTCAGCAGATGTGGCTGTCCTCAACTCTGTCCCCTGGAATGTCAGACCAGCCCTGGAGGTCTGACAGCATTAGGACAGATGCTACAAACCCTGCGGCAGAGGCATTTCATCATGAGTCCTTTCTCACAACACCCCAGATACCCAGATCCACCCACACAGAGAAAGGTGCACACCCAGACACCCAGTCAGACACACACACACACACACACACACACACACACACAGAAACAAAGAGAAAACTCAGATACACCCAGTGATGCACACACATACATCCAAATATCCCAGAGACAGATGTACACATGCAAATACCTTGAAACACCCAGAACACACATACATACACACACACACACACACACACACAGAAACAAAGAGAAAACTCAGATACACCCAGTGATGCACACACATAATCCAAATATCCCAGAGACAGATGTACACATGCAGATACCTTGAAACACCCAGAACACACACACACACACACACACACACACACACACACACACACTCACACACACTCTCACTCTTCCCACTCAGCCAGAGTTCGATATGTTGTCTACGCCTGACCTTGAATACCTCCTCCAATCCCAACAGGTGGCCACTGGCTCTCCAGCAGGGCCCTCTGGGTCTCTGACCTGGAATCAGGGTTATGATGTCTAGAGGTGGGGGAAAATGGTAAACTCTTAATTCATCACATGACTAATTCAACACCCAGAGAAGTTTTACTCCTTGATTTGGTGACTTACCAAAGTTCACCCCTGGGAAGGCATTATTGCTGCTGTTGTTCAGTTGCTAAGTTGTGTCTGACTCCCTGTGACCCCACGGACTGCAGCATGCCAGCTCCTCTGTCCTCCACTATCTCCCGGAGTTTGCTCAAATTCATGTCCATTGAGTCGGCGATGCTGTCTAACCATCTCATCCTCTGCTGCCCTCTTCTCCTTTTGCCTTCAATCTTTCCCATCATCGGGGGGAAGACATAAGGATGAACAAACAGAATGCTAACCACTACTTTCTTTCCCCTCATCTTAGCAGAAGCTTACTCATCCTTATGGCCAGACGAACATCTGACCTGTAGTAGGCCTATTCGGCATCAATTTGTATTAAACCATTATGCTCTCCCCGACAGAATGTGGGGAGAAGGTGGCTGCTGGGTGCCTGGTTCTCAGGGCTCTGTTTTGGCTTCTTGCCAATGTGAGGTCCTGCAGCTTTCCTTGCCATCTTGAACCAACCAAGGAAAAACAAGCCATTCACTAATTTAGTCCATAAATACTTACGAACACCCCACTATACACAGAACAACAGACAGACCATACAGCTCTCATAGAGCTTACGGCCCACAGGAGGAGGCAGACGTCAAAAACGCAAGTAATTCTTAAAGAATATACTTGTTGTAGGCTCAATTGTGTCTTCCACCTCCCCTACAAACTCGTGTGTCCTAACACCCAGGACCTTAGAATGGGACTGTATTTGGATATAGGGCCTTCAGGTGGCGTTAGTGGTAAAGAATCTGTTTGCCAATGCCAAGAGACTTGTCATGCAGGTGGGGAAGATCCCCTGGAGAAGGAAATGGCAACCCACTTCAGTATTCTTGCCTGGAGAATCCCATGGACAGAGGAGCCTGGCAGACCTCAGACCATGGAGTTGCAAAGAGTCAGACACAACTGAAGCGACTGAGCACACACACATGCCTTCAAAGAGGTGATCAAGTTAAACTGATCCAGGAGGGTGTGCCCTAGCCCAGTACAACTGGTGACCTTAGGAGAAGGGGAAATACCGACACACGGAGACCAGGGATGCTTGTGCCCAGAGGAACAACTGTGTTAAGAGACAGTAAGGGCAGCTGTCTACGAGCTGAGGACAGAGACCCCAGAGGAAACATATCCTACTGGCACCTTGATATTGGACTTGTAGCCTCTCAAGCTGTGAAAAAATAAACTTCTGTTGTTTAAGCCACCCAGGCTACTATCTTGCAATGGCCACCCTAGCAAATTAAAACAGCATCAAAAAGAACAAAACAAGGAAACAAAGTGGGGGCCAAATAGTCTGAGTCCTGTATTTACTTCCTCAAAGAGTTGTCACGCGCTTTGAGGTGAGCTACACAAGCCTTGAATGAAAAGGCAAAGCAGCAGTAAGCCTCGCTCTCAGCACCCTGCCTCCAGCAGGGCTCTGTTCCTACCTCCGGCCCCTCTAGCAGGCACCCTCCGGCGGGGTGGGCAGAAGGTGGCTAGCTCAGAGCCTTGGGCCCACACGCCGGAGCCCTTTCTGCTTCCTCCTCTGTTTAATAAACCACGGCCGGGTGTCTGTGCAGGATCAGGCCTCACACAGGGGCATTGGGCCAGAAGAGGTGAGTGGGAGGTGAGCTAGGACCCCAGGACCCACCACCCAGAGTCCAGGGCACCAGCTTTGAGCGCCACTGTTACCAAGGGTGTTCTGCTTTTACTTTTCTCAGAGCTGCTCCTTATGCCTACGGTCTCACAGTGCATCAAAGTTATGTAAATAACAAGTCCCTATATTTACCAAGTTCTTCAAAACCTCCCTTCCAAAATGGGTCTCAATGAGGCACTCATGACAAATAACATTGATATAATTATCACCAGTGCACAGATGAGAAAACTGAGGCCCAGAAATGGTGAAAGACAAGGCCAAGATCCAAAAGCTGAAAAGTGTCAGGGAATTAACCCAGGCCTTTCGGTTAAGAGGCTCAGAGGCTAAAGAATCTGCCTGTAATGCAGGAGACCTGGTTTCAATCCCTGGGTCAGGAAGATCCCTTGTGGAAGGCAATGGCCACTCACTCCAGTTTTCTTGCCTCGGGAATTCCATGGACAGAGAAGCCTGGTGAGCTACAGTCCACGGGGTCACAAAGAATTGGACATGACTGAGCGACTAACACTTTTGGTTGAGAATTAAGAAAGGAAGTTGAGGGAAGACTCAGAACTGGATTGCCTCTTCTCAATTCAAAATGAGCAGGGGAATGACCCAGATGGCTTTTCAAACCCTGTCCAGCCTCTGGGATTAAGCTCAGAGAGACGGGAAGGCACCAGAGCGTGAGTTGGCCAACAATGTAGCCGGGCTCAGAAGATGTCCTCAGACCACAATCTTTAGGCATACTCCAAGGGGAGGGATTGGCTGGGGAGGTGACCTGGGACACAGGAGGGATATTCTACTTCTTCTCTTTAAAATGGAACTATAATAATTCAGTCACAGCATTCACACGGGGTGGCACAATGATCTTGGATCAAGGTAAAAGGACACATGGCAACGCCCAGCATCAAGTCTTGAGGGCAAAGGCACATACAGGGATCATTGCTACGCAGCCTCCATGTCCTGCCCACTATGGCATCTCATGACTGTTGTTTAGTTGTTAAGTGCAACTCTTTGTGAACCCATGGACTGCAGCATGCCGTGCTTCCCCATCCCTCACTATCTCTCAGAGTTTACCCAAGTTCATGTCCATTGAATGGGTGATGCCATCCAACCAACTCATCCTTTGCAGCCCTCTTTTCCTTTTGCCGCCAGTCTTTCCCAGCATCAGTCTTTTCCAATGAGTTGGCTGTTAGCATCAGGTGGCCAAAATATTGGAGGTTCAGGTTCATGACCATTTGGGCTGATTTTTTTCACCTCACTTTCTCCCTTTATTATTATTATTATTAAAGTACCGACCATTTTATGTAATTTTAAAGAATTTTTTGGCCATACTGTGAGGCATGTGGGATCTTGGTTCCCCAACCAGGGATCAAATCCACATCCCCTGCCTTGGAAGGACAGGGTGTTTACCACTGGACCACCAGGGAAATTCCTCTCCCTTTATTATTTTAATATAATATTTGATGAAAAAATGTAGATAATTCCTGTGTAATTGAGAAAGTTTAGTTCAGTTCAGTTGCTCAGTCGTGTCCAACTCTTTGCGACCCCGTGAATCGCAGCATGCCAGGCCTCCCTGTCCATCACCAACTCCCGGAGTTTACTCAAACTCATGCCCATCGAGTTGGCGATGCCATCCAGCCATCTCATCCTCTGTCGTCCCCTTCTCCTCCTGCCCCCAATCCCTCCCAGCATCAGGGTCTTTTCCAATGAGTCAACTCTTCGCATGAGGTGGCCAAAGTATTGGAGTTTCAGCTTCAGCATCAGTCCTTCCAATGAACACCCAGGACTGATCTCCTTTAGGATGAACTGGTTGGATCTTGCAGTCCAAGGGACTCTCAAGAGTCTTCTCCAACACCATAGTTCAAAAGCATCAATTTTTCAGCACTCAGCTTTCTTCACAGTCCAACTCTCACATCCATACATGACCACTGGAAAAACCATAGCCTTGATCAGACGGACCTTTGTTGGCAAAGTAATATCTCTGTTTTTTAATATGCTGTCTAGGTTGGTCATAACTTTCCTTCCAAGGAGTAAGCGTCTTTTAATTTCATGGCTGCAGTCACCATCTGCAGTGATTTTGGAGGCCCAAAAAATAAAAGTCTGACACCGTTTCCACTGTCTCCCCATCTATTTCCCATGAGGTGATGGGACCAGATGCCATGATCTTAGTTTTCTGAATGTTAAGCTTTAAGCCAACTTTTTCACTCTCCTCCTTCACTTTCATCAAGAGACTTTTTAGTTCCTGTTCACCTTCTGCCATACGGGTGGTGTCATCTGCATATCTGAGGTTATTGATATTTCTCCCGGCAATCTTGATTCCAGCTTGTGCTTCTTCCAGCCCAGCGTTTCTCATGATGTACTCTGCATATAAGTTAAATAAGCAATTGGAACCAGTCTGTTGTTCATGTCCAGTTCTAACTGTTGCTTCCTGATCTGCATACAGGTTTCTCAAGAGGCAGGTCAGGTGGTCTGGTATTCCCATCTCCTTCAGAATTTTCCACAGTTTATTGTGATCCACACAGTCAAAGGCTTTGGCATAGTCAATAAAGCAGAAATAGATGTTTTTCTGGAACTCTCTTGCTTTTTCGATGATCCAGCGGATATTGGCAATTTGATCTCTGGTTCCTCTGCCTTTTCTAAAACCAGCTTGAACATCTGGAAGTTCACGGTTCATGTATTGCTGAAGCCTGGCTTGGAGAATTTTGAGCATTACTTTACTAGCGTGTGAGATGAGTGCAACTGTGTGGTAGTTTGAGCATTCTTTGGGATTGCCTTTCTTAGGGATTGGAATGAAAACTGACCTTTTCCAGTCCTGTGGCCCCTGCTGAGTTTTCCAAATTTGCTGGCATATTGAGTGCAGCACTTTCACAGCATCATCTTTCAGGATTTGAAATAGCTCAACTGGAATTCCATCACCTCCACTAGCTTTGTTCGTAGTGATGCTTTCTAAGGCCCACTTGACTTCACATTTTAGGATGTCTGGCTCTAGGTGAGTGATCACACCATTGTGATTATCTGGGTCGTGAAGATCTTTTTTGTACAGTTCTTCTGTGTATTCTTGCCACCTCTTCTTAATATCTTCTGCTTCTGTTAGGTCCATACAATTTCTGTCCTTTATCGAACCCAGCTTTGCCTGAAATTTTCCCTTGGTATCTCTAATTTTCTTGAAGAGATCTCTAGTCTTTCCCATTCTGTTGTTTTCCTCTATTTCTTTGCACTGATCGCTGAGGAAGGCTTTCTTATCTCTCCTGGCTATTCTTTGGAACTCCGCATTCAGATGGGAATATCTTTCCTTTTCTCCTTTGCTTTTTGCTTCTCTTCTTTTCACAGCTATTTGTAAGGCCTCTTCAGACAACCATTTTGCCTTTTTGCATTTCTTTTCCATGGGGATGGTCTTGAAAGCAAAGTAATAAAATGAATTCCTGTGAGCCCATCATGAATTTCTCCAGAACTCTGCCAACAGCTTAGCACCCACTGCTGACCTCTTCCCCATCTCGGCCATCAGGAGGTAAGCCTCATCTTGAATTTTGTGTGCAATTATTGCCTTGTCTTTAAAATACTGTTTTATACATTGGCATGCACTCCCAAACAAAGTATAGTACAGATTTTGAGGTTTATAAAAACAGTATCATGCTGTCTCTGGTTCTCAGGGATGTTTTGTTCACTCAACACTGCCTCCCTACGAAAAGTAGAGAAGGATGTAGAATTGGAGGTAGGCGAAACTGGGCTGGAATCCAGATTCCCAGTGCTGCAGCTGTTTCATCACATGCAAATTTCTTAACTCCATTAAGTCTCAGCTTCCTCATCTTTAGAAATGGAGCTCTCCTTTATCTTACAAGGTTACAAAGATTAAATAAAATGTTAAAATGTTGTATATAAGTGCTCCTACTGCAGAACAGGTTTTTAAAAATTACTGTGAGCTTTTCTTTCAATTTTTTTTTGTTTTTAGCTCAGTGGTAGAGGACCACTTCAGTGTGGGAGGAAATGCTTAAAAAATTATTTCTCCCCAGATAATATAACCAACTATTTTTTTTTTAGATTAAGAACTGGAAACACAAACTTCATTAAAAAAGTAAAGACATTACTAAAACATATACTTCAGCTATATATTTATGACTTGCTAATGGTGGAGGGGAAGAGAAAAAGGGAACTAGTAGGAAAAAGGTTGAAAACAGAAACTATTAATGAGAGGTCACCAACTGTGTTTCTGATTTTTGAAATGTGAATTAACCATTGTTTATAGTTCTTCAACTGTTCCAATATCAAAGCCTATTAAGGTCTCCTTAGAATGGGACCCTCTTAGGGGTCCCCACCAAGGGACAACTATTCTTTGGGATGCAGCAACTGTGAACTGAACAATGTCAGGATGACATCAGTTGGAGCACCAGATGAAAAGTTCTATAAGCCTGTGCCAGATGAAATTTCTTACACTATCCCAGTCCTCAGTTTAGCTCTTTTCATACGTACCTACCTACTTTCCTTTCAAAGAGATTTTGTGGTTCATTTCTTCTGATATGGCCTTCATCTCCTTCCAAAATAAGGTTATCGGCAAATGAAAAGGCTAGTGGAAAAGGCAAATGAGATCTAAGATCTGGAGTCAGGAAAGCCAGTGAGATTGACATTAAAATGCAGAGCACTGAAATATTTATAAGTGCATTCGTGAAATATTAATACAGCATCTTGCAAACACAGGGACAGGGTACCCTCAGACTCTTTGAAGACTGCCTTTTAACTGAGCACAGCTCTCATCACTAAAAATGTTCCATCTGCCTCAGGGCATGCTGTGGTCTCTTGAGGTATCAACTGGTGAGCGAAGCCTTCTTCAGAACGAACCCAGCACACCCGATCCCCCTGGGCCAGCTGCCCACCCTCCTCACACCTGGAGGGCACCAGCCATCTGCTGGCCCAGAGGCCACAGGGACCAGGCCCCTGGATGGGAGGCACAGGTGCTTGCCTTCGGACTACTGGGTATCAAAGTCATCCTCAAAGGATGTGCATATTCTCAAATGTCCCCCTCTGCCCACTGCTTGCCCCTGTGCTTCCTGAGGGATTCAGGAAACCCAGCGAGTGCCACTGAACCCCAGAGAGCTGGCGTGGGCGGAGGGGGTGGGGGAGGACTCAGGCAACAGGGTTTCATATAACCTGGATGGGAAGGAGGTGGGAGGAGCAGCCTATGGGCAGGATGGAGTCCTAGATTCCCAGGACTTGCAGAATGTCAACCCCTGTAGGGGAGGTGTCACCTCCGTGTTATTAATTGTTCTAATCCCCCATCTAGAACAGTCCCAGGCATACAGAGTGAGTCCAAAAACAACAGTTCACTGACTGACTTGCAGCCCATGGAGACTGGCTACCAAGCTGTCCCTGCTCAGGGGCAGTGCCCTTTGAAAAGAAGCAAGTGTGACCATTTCGTCTAATTCAAAGAAATGAACAAGACAGGCAACAGTAAAGAACAGATGAGAGCATGTTTAAGATGACGCAAAGCAAAGGGTCCATCCATTTCCTGAAAAGTCTCCCGAAGTTCATCAAGTTGTAGAAATGAGCACTGTATTACGAATCAGGAAGTCTGGGCTTTCATCAGGCACTTTCACAAATTTGCTGTGTGAAGCAGAACTAGTCACTTCCTCTCTCTCAGCTTCAGTGTCCTCTTCAGTACAATGCAGTAGTTGGGCCAGACAAGTTCCAAAAGGCTTGCCCTTTGGTCATGATTGGAAACTCAAGACTGGGTTTGTAAAAGCCACTCCTCTTCTTCCTAGCAGCTGGGCAGTCCCCTCCCCACTACCACATTATTACTGCTTGGCAGCTCCCGGGAGCCCCTGTTCTAGAGCACTCCCTGATGTTTTGCATGTCCAGCCACAGCCAGGACCAAGGGGCCCTGAACACGGTGGTTCTTGGCCTTGGCTATCCTCCAGAGGCTAGAGGGAGGCACAGAGCTGGATCCTCCTGAGAACTGGGCTGTCTAGGAACTACAGGGCAACAGCAGAGCTTTCTTCAACAAGCTTGCAGGTCACTCCATTTCTGGCTGGAAGCTTTTCTGAAACTGGACTGACTTTCTGATCCTGAGGGGCCATTTTGCCCTGGATCCATCCATTGGATGAGGGCTGCTCTATCCATGCTCTTATACAACGGTCTTGAAATCTGCTGCTGACAATGGAAAAGGATTGCCTCCCCTTTCCCAGTGCCCTTCCCTTTCCGCCTCTATTTTCTTTCCCTCTCTGCTTCCTGTATACTTCCCCTCACTCACCTTTCGGAACCTCTCTCCTTTTCTTTCCACCTCTTCCCATGTACTTTCTCAGTCTTGGGGCCTCACCTGGACCCCTCTTACTTCCGGTTTGGGTTTCTGGTCAGCACCACTATTCTGCCTACAAAGCAGGGTCCAAACTCCTAGTGGTTAAGGTTCTCAGCCATATTCACTCAAGGGTCCAGGTAATCATCTCTTTCTCCTCTCCTTTCTCCCTGTAGGTCCTTCTTTGACCTTTTTCAACCATATCCTCAAAAAGGCCCCTGCCCCTATGTTGGCCATCACTGGGCAGATGTATTAGTTCTCTAGAGCTGCCTTCACAAAGCAGCACAATCTAGGTGGCTTAAAAACAGAAATTGACTTCCTCACAGTTTCAGAGGCCAGAAGTCTGAGATTGAGGTCTTGGCAGGGTTGGTTTCCTGAGGCCTCTCCCCTCAGCTTGCAGATGGCCGCCTTCTCACTGTCTCTTCATACATTCTTCCTCTGATCTCTCTTCTTATAAGGAAGCCAGTCATATTGGATGTGGGGCCACCTCAATGACCTCATTTTCCTTAACTACCTCTTTGAAGATCTCTCTCCAAGTATTCTGCGGTACCAGCAGAGGTGATGGTCCCTGTGGCAGAGGGGACACAGGTATTCTAGGCTGGCATCCAGGCTGGTTTTCTTGGGCTGCACACCTTTAGGGAAAGATGAAGAAGGCAGGGACTCTGGGTCCAGAACAGGTGGTTCAATATGACCTTCTGAGGTGCTATCGACTCAGCACCCCAACCCTGGGTGCTCCCCAGAGTCATAGGCACCCGAGCTAAAGAAAATCAGATGCAGATAGCCCAAGAATAATCTGAGCATCAGGTAAACAAGAAGTTTAATAAAAGTGAAAAAAATGACAACACAGTGGGCTGCCAATGGGCTGCTTTAGGAGGTTTGATAAGTTGGCCGGCATGCCACGCTGACTCCATGTGGGTTCTGGGAGGTCACAGGATTGGTCCCTCACACCCCAACATTCACTCGGTATCTTCTGCCCATGGGTGAGGTGTCTGTCTTCCTGGTATCATTTTTGACCAGGCTGGTTCTGAACTCCCTCATCCTGCAAGGAAAGCTGCCCAAATCTGACCTTTACCCATGATGATGGTGATGATGGTCATCTACATCATTTTCTTAGGGTCACATCCCATCCCAGCTTCTGAGGTGGGCAGACAGGTGAAAGCCCATTTTATGGAGAATTAAGGGCTTTGGGAATGTTGGAGTCTCCTCCATAGGAGATAGCCACAGCTCCCAGGATCTCCTGGATCCCCCACAAATCCCTCTGAATCCTGCATGCCCATCTTTCTTGCAAAGTGCTCAGGGTTGCAGAATGCTCAGGCGCTGGTGACAAGCAGGGTCCAAGAGTCTGCAGAGAAAGGAGCCTTGCTGGGCCTGGGCTTCCCTGGTGGCCACCTAGAGCCTGGTCAGTTAGGAGATACTGCTCCTCCTCCGGGGGCGGAGGGCTTTTTTTTTGGCGATGTCCTCCTCCGTGTCACTCTCACAATTCCTCTGGGAAAAAAAGAAAAAAAGAGAGAGACCCAGAGCAAGAAGATCAGAAGATGCCAAAAACGGGGTCATGCTGGGCAACCTGGGCTGATGCACCTGAGTCAGGAGCCTGTCAACCAGGGAGGTGGACATGGAGGGGAAGCCTGTTGCTCTGTCCAGAGACCAGGGGTGGAAGAGAGAGGGATGGGGAGGTCCCTGAAGTGGGGCCAGGCCAACTGCCTGCAGGCCGCCTTTCCAGGAGGAAGGAAAGCAGGCAGAGCCTCTAGGGGAAGTCAGGCACCAGAAGAGGCCAAATGATAATCATGAAAATTATATCTGGTGTCCTTTGTGGCTGCCACATAATTAAGACCACTTGGCTAGTTGGTCAGTGGATGGGTCTCCTGACCTCGCCTACAGAGAATGAAGGAGGGCTAGCAGGACCTCCCCAGGCTCGATGGCCACCTCACCCCCTCTGCTTTGACTGGCTTAGGCTGCACCTTTAGCCAGTCCTGCAATGTAGTCTTTCCGGGCCAACGGCTTCTGTGCTCCTTTTTTATGAAAGGGAAAAAGAGTAAAGCAGATTCTATCAGCTCCTACATAGCTAAGCCAGAGCAGAGGCAGCCACCCTGGAAGTCACCGCGCCTTTTTCATTCATTCCATATGCATCTACTTAAATAATTAAAACTATTGAAAGAAGTATTAATTGAGAAATACTTATGCAAATCATAGAAAAATCTGTTGTCAGATGTACAGGTTTATTTATATATTTTTAAAGCTTTTCTTTTTGTATTTTTTCCCCCCAATTTTTTGGCCACAAGTTGTGGCATGCATGAACTTAATTCTCTGACTGGGGGTCGAACCCATGTCCCCTGCAGTGGAAGCATGGGGTCTTAACCACTGGACTACCAGAGAAGTCCTCAGATTTTAAATTTTATTTATTTATTTATTTTTTTCATTTATTTTTATTAGTTGGAGGCTAATTACTTTACATCATTGCAGTGGGTTTTGTCATACATTGAAATGAATTAGCCATGGATGATTTTAAATTTTAATGCTTCATAAACAAAAGGATGTGTCTATTTTTCTTCTTCTTTCCTTTTCTTTTTTTTTTTTTAAGGAAAATGTTTTTAGGAAAGCTGTATAATAGATGTCTGGGACCCATCTCTTTTCTACTTAGAGGGTGAGCCATTGGGTTGATTTCAGGTGCTGTGTGTTTGAGTAAAAAGAGAACTAATTTAAATGTTCACACATAAACAAAAATTAGGAAAGAATTTTACATTCTTTTCAATTACTCTCTGTTTCTCTTTCTCAATGGCCAGCATTGTATCAGGCCAACTCAGCCTGAGAGGTGTACATGCTGTCAGCCGTGTGCCTACTCAGGGCCCCGTCTCTTTCCCTTGGCCTGAACCAGCTCGAAATTCAAGGTCAAGATCAACTTTAGCCAAATACATCCTGGACCTAGCCTGGCTGTAACAATAAAAATAACTCAAGCTCTGCTGAACTGCAACTTTTTAGCATGAGTCAGAGCCAAACAATAAAAAAGTAAGCTGGGTGACAATCTGCTTGTGATTAACAGGGATTCTCAGAAGGAGCAAGTCCAGTCCCCCTCCCCACTTCTTTTTTAACATTAAGAACTCTATGTATTTGGAAATTAAAAGTCCACTTTTAAATGATGGTTGTATCGAACAAGGCAAATTAGAAAATATTTGTAACAGAATAAAAATGAAAAGAGAATTTATCACAATTTGTTGCATGCAGTTGAAGCTGTTCCAGTCCCCTTTTATAGCAGATGAGGAATGTGGCCAGAGAAGGAACACAGTTTGGCCAAAGCCCACAGTTTATGGGTCTCTAAGCCATAAGTCCTCCAGTTCTCCAAGCTCAAGAAGAGCTCGGGCTGGTGGGGGGCACACAGGGGCAGTGCCAAGACCTGGGATGTAGCCTAAGTGCTGTGTGCCCCCTGGCTGCCCAGGGCTGACAGGCAGGCTGCTGCCTTACGGCTTCTTCCTGAGTAGGGAATCACCTTCTCTCCTGACCTGGGCCATTCGAGAGGCTGTCGCCACACTCGGTAAGCTGTGAGGAGGGTCTGTCAGGGACCCTTGACCAGCCACAATACTAACACTGCACTTGGGAGCACCAGCACTGCACTTGAGAGTCTACAAGAGGATTTTAAACAATACTAGCTGCTAATAAGTATTGAGCACTTAAAATGCCAGGCTCTAAAAATATGTCATCATTTAATCCTCATGACTGCCCTATGAGGTAAGAACTATTGCTAACCCCTTTTTACAAATGATTTCATTTAGCACAGAGAGGTTAAGTCATTTCCTGAAGGTCACACAGCTAGTAAGTGGCAGATTTGAATCCTGGCAGTCTGGCTCCAGAGGCCATGCTTTTGACATTATAAGTCTCCCATTTTAAATGCACATAAAGTTGCAACAGGCTAATCAAATATATCATCTAAATATTATTATTGGTAATCTAAGGCAAAGCAGAAGTGGAAAAACTGGCAAATGAATGTAAAGCTCTCATTCTAAAGCAGATCCCTGGATTATCAGGAACTGACTTTGGATTGCCCGCCCGTGATAGTCTCATTGTGCAGAGTTCCCGCAGCCCCTAACAGGCTACAGGTCCTCCAGGGAAGCCGGGGCTGTGGAGTGGCAGCAGAGTCCCTCCAAAAGCCCATTAGGAAAGGATTCAAGATCCTCCATAGACTCCTGCAGCCCCACCTTGGAGCACCCTTCTTCCAGCACCACCCCAGTGGTCTCCCGTGAACACAGCCTCTGCTGATCACACGGTGCAGAGCCTGCTGGAATCAGTTAAGCCCCACCTGCTCCCCACACCCCCTCCCAGATCAAGGCTACACCCTCAGAGAGCACTGTGTTTACCCACCAGGTCCTCGTTCGGCCTCCGGTGCACCTTCTTCATCAGGGATCGGGTGAGGTGGTTACACAGGGAGACAATGCTGAAGGAGAGCTGAGGGAGGGAGCAGAGGGGAATTGCCAGGTGAGAAAGTGCAGAGAGCCTGGAGGGGTCTGGAAGGAACCAGGAACCCACCTCAGCCCCCCGCGCCCACCCCTCAACCCTGACCCACCTTCCACCGCCTGCGGACATACTGCTTCTTGAAGTTCTCCAGATTGACCGCAGACTCCCTGCGTATCAGGGCTTGATGGTTGTCCACCGGCTGGGAGACAAAGCAGAGAGCGTGGTGGCTGACACTGGGCTTCAGACAGCAGCTGACCCCCTGACCACATGCCACCCTCAGCCTGACCCTGGGACCTGCCTGCTGGACACGACACACAGAAGGACTTCACACCAAGGGCTCCAGGTGAATCTCTGCTGTTCCGGAGATGCCCAGGGCACCCCTGAGCTATTATTACCACAGCCAGATGGGCACACTGACTGGACTGGAGGCTTGCCCCCCACAAAGGGAAAGAGTAGGAGGCAGGGGTCCCTCTGGGGAAGGTTCATTGTACGGCAGTCCAGGACACCACCGTGCACTGGGTCAGTTCTGAGCTTAGCAAAATGGATGCCTTGCTTGCAGATGGGGCATCAGTACTCCACTTAAAAATAAATGGGAGGAAATAGGGGCTTTGATGGGGGTCGAGAGGAGATGGGATGTGTAGTTTCTTTCACTGTCTGGCAGTCAAGGCTCAGCTTAAGCTCTGACTTCTCCAAGAAAGCTGGCATGGCTTCTCTGAGTCTCAATTTTCCCATCTGTAATATGGGGATGATGAATAACATTATGTCACAGGGATATTTAGGATTAAATGACTGTGAGATGTGAAGTGCCTCGCTTACAGTTGCTCAGTAAATAGTAATAAATTACTGATAGCCTTCCTGTCTTCTCCATTCCATCGTTATAAAACTGATTTTATTCAAAAATAGCTTTATTTTGATATAAGAAAGAAAGAAAGTGAAGTCACTCAGTCATGTCCAACTCTTTGTGACCCCATGGACTGTAGACTGCCAGGTTCCTCCGTCCATGGGATTTTCCAGGCAAGAGTACTAGATATTACTTGATATCAAAAAGTGGGCATATTTAATGGACTCCAGTTTAAGGAGCTCATTCCCTCATGAATTCCTGCCTCTTCATAAACAAGGATTTCCTAATTCAAGAATTCAAGAGATGTGTTTCAGGGGTTCTATGAACCTCCTGAAATGATCTGCAGATTTTAGTGCATAAACTTGTACATGGATGTTCATAGCAGTATCATTTATAACAGAGAAAAAGTGGAAACAACCTAAATGTGCATCAGCTGATGCGTGGACAAAAAAAAAATGTGGTCTACCCAGGTTGTTGTTTTAGTCACTGAGTTGTGTCTGACTCTTTAGTGATCCCATGGACTGTAGCCCATCAGGCTCCTCTGTCTATGGGATTTTCCAGGCAAGAATACTGGAGTGGGTAGCCATTCCCTTCTCCAGGGGATCCTCCCAACCCAGGGATCACATCTGTGTCTCCTGCATTGGCAGGCAGGTTCTCTACCATTGAGCCACCAGGGAAGCCGACTCTATCCATACAATGGAAGAACTAAATGGAAAATCCATTCATGAAAAGAATGAAGTACTAATACATACTGCAACATGAATAAACCTTCAAAACAATATAGTAAGTGAAAGATGCCAGACACAGGAGGCCACATATTGTATAATTCTAATCACATAAACAAGCCTGGTGTGCTGCAGTCCATGCAGTCACAAAGAGTCGGACACGACTGAGTGACTGAACTGAATTGAATCACATAAAAGGCCCCAAATATCCAGAATAGGCAAATCCACAGAGACAGGAAGTAGATTAGCAGTTACCAGGGCTGGAGAGAGGGGAGAATGGAGAAAGACTATGAAAGGTTATAAAGTTTCTTTCTAGGGTGATGAAAATGCCCTGGAATTAGATAGAGATGATGGTTGTATAACCTTGTGAATACATTAACAAGCACTGAATTGTACACTTTCAAGTAGTGAATTTTATAGTATGTGAATTATATCTCAATTTTTAAAAACTTAGTGTATAGGTACAGACATATTTTTCCTCTGAGAAGAGTCAATAGCTTTGATTGATTCTTAAAGGACTCCGTGACCTCAAGAATATGAACCACCCAGGGTCATCCATAAGGTCCCATCCAGCTTTATTTTTTCTCTCTGCTCTGACAGCCTCCTCAAAGCAGTGCCTCCTTTTGCACCTCAGTGACCTCAGTGAGTGAGGCTGCTCATGGATTCCTGATGCTGGTCTTGTCTCCTAACCACACTGTGAGCACACCTCCATGCCTGTTTATTTGTCATCATGGCACCAGATGTCCGTGGAAGCCGGTGCATATGGCTGGTGCACACTGCTCTGGTCCTGACATTTTCTAGCAGGAGGCTCTTTCCATGTTCACCCAACATTCCTCCTCCAGGAAGGCCTCTGTGTGTTTCAAAGCCCTATTCAATTATGACCTCTTCCAAGATAACTTCCAAGAAACAACGTCTCTCCCAACATGACCCAAACACATGTGTGCTCCTTTAGTATACACAGCACCTCTCTTGGTCAGCTCCGCAGTACAGTCATCTCCCACTAGTGGCCAATCAGGAATGATTTTCTTCATGTCTATCAGTGTTTCCTTATGCCCCACTCCTGATCCAGAGCTTAAGAAGGTGGGTGTGGAAGCACTGTACGGGTCAACTGTTTCCCTGAGCTGCAGCAGAATCAAATCAGAACCAAGTCCCAGGACCTGGGACCTACTGACTCCCACCAACAAGAGGCCCAGGCACTTGGGTCCACCCAGCTGTGAGACCGCGGAAGCGTGTCATGACACCCTGACTCCCCACAGCTCTGCCTGGGGGGCCAGTGAGGTGAGACATGGAGTCCTGAGGAGGTCAGCGAGCATGGAGGAGAGTTCATGCCACCTTGACACAGAGGGGAGACGAGAGAGCCAGAGGCTTACTCACCCTCCCAAACTGGGACACAGTGGTTTGGTCCAAAGAATACAGGAAGGAAGAGAGGAGGGAAAGGAGGGAGGCAGAGAGGAGAGAGAAGAGAAAAGGATGGGGGCTCTGAGGGCACCATCAGCTCATATCCTGCTCTCTCAACTCTCTCCTTAACTGTCTCTTCCCCCTCGCAAACCAAGCCCTGAGGTTAGGTCCTCCCTGCAAGAGAGTGGTGAAAGAGGGCAGAGGACAAACTGGTGTGTTCTGATCCTGCTTTTTCCTGGCATCAAAGCCTTCCAGCAGCTTCCAGGCACTCTCAAAAGAACCCAACAAGCTCACCAAGAACCCCAAGACCTATATCATCTGGGTCTTTCTCTCATCTGATTTTCTCCCCATCTCCTTCCTATCCCTGTGGCTTTCATTGCACGGGTCTGCTTGCTAGTCCAGGAACCCCAGGTCTCAGGATCTTACTGTATATATTTTGTCATTTCATTCAGGTGTGTGCCCCAGTGTCACCTCCTCAGGGTCACCCTATATAAAATAGCACATTGGTTGCCCTATGCAACTCACTGTGCCTCTGCCCTAGTTCTTCACAGGACCTGTTGATACCTGACCTTTTATTCTATATTTATTTAGTTGTTGTTAATCCCCCTGCTCTGTACCTCCCAGCAACTAGTATCTCCTTCCCAAGGTCACTGGCATCCTGCCACCCCACAGAACATTTCTACCTCTAACTTCACAAATATCTGCTATTCACCTTCCTCTCTAATCCTGGGAACACTCTTGCACTCGGAGAGTTTGATGAGCTGGAATCAGTGGACTCTGGGACCAAAGGGACCCCTTCTTGTCTACTTATTGATTGGCTCCCTTGCCAGGAGAGAGTTAGCTAAACCCCATGGTTGGAAGGTCGACATGCAGGCCAGGGGAATCCCGTTAGTGAGAATCCCACCTTCCAACTGGTCCAGCAGTGTCAGCCACTAAACAGAGACGCCCAACTGCAATATCACATGGGACCATTCCCACAGGCTGCTCCTGGGAGGTGATGCAGTCACTTCAAGGACCCTGTCTGTGTTCTACACAAAACAGCATGAACTCCAAGGAAGAGTATATAAACCTGTCAGGCTGGCCTTTCCCAATCAATGGGCCTTGTTGGTTGCTAAGAGGCTCACCAAACACGGACACTGTCTCTAGGTCTTGAAGTCAGAGAGATGTAAATTCTGCAGTGACACAAGCTCCAGTAGGAATGTGACACTAACGCTTTGGATTAAACGAGGGTGTGAGGGGAGATGGACTCTGTCCCACCTTCTCCTGACCCTCCCCTTTCTGCAAACAGTCTTTCAGCCTTGTGGTCCTTCAGTGACACCAGTGTGGGCAGTTTTGACTAGGCTCCTAGGAGTATGTTTAGTGTCACAGAAAAATGTGAAGGGAGAAAAGAAGACAGAACTCTGTGGCTAAAGTCAGGTTTTGTTTATGCGGACACAGATGTCTCTGAAAAAGTCCTTCAGGGAGCCGTTTTACAGAGGGAAGTAAGTCAGAAAGAGAAAAACAATTATTTTATATTAACGCATATATATGGAATCTAGAAAAATGGTACTGATGAACCTATTTGCAGGGCAGTAATAGAGACAGATGTAGAAAATGGTCTTGTGTACATGGATGGTGGGGGCAAGAACAGGGTGAAATAAACTGAAAGAATATAATTTTAAACCTATACATTACCTGGAGTAGGAAATGGCAACCCACTCTAGTATTCTTGCCTGGGAAATCTTATAGACACAGTAGCCTGGCGGGACCCCTTTGTGTCCATGGGGTCACAAAGAGTCGGACACGACTAAGCACATACAACCAACCTCCTCCAACCATAATCATTACCATGTGTAATATAGATAGCTAATGGGAAGTTGTTGTATACACAGGGAGCTCAACCTGGTGCTTTATGATGACCTAGAGGAGTGGGAACAGGGGTGGGCTGGGAGGGAGGCTCAAGAGGGAGAGGCTATATGTATACCTATGGCTGATTCACATTGTTGTAAGCAGAAGTCAACACATTGTAAAGCAATTATCCTCCAGTTTAAAAAAATGTCTGTTGTGGCGAGCTAGGCCAGCACCAACATCCACAGAGCGGGGAGATGAAGCAGCAGCCATCCTTCCTGGTCAAGCTTAAAGACCAGAATCCTGGTTTTCCAGCCTCCTCTAGAAACTGCCAACAGATTGCAACTTTTCAAACCTCCATCTGAGTCAGTCCTCCAGCCCTACCCTCCACGGAAAGCCACGGACACC